GGTTTTGAGAAAGCATATCTATTTAGGAACTAATTTTTTCTGAACACTTTGAAAATGATAATAGGTAATACCAAAGTTAACGCACATTTTAGCGTTTTCTTTTCACGTGAACGATGTGACTGCCTGAAATAGAGATATGAGTGCGGTCTGGTAGATTATTCGCAATCGTACACAATGATATTCATCATGCTGTCATCGACTGAATTGATTAGGTTGTCGTAAAAACTCGAAAGTCGACCGTGAAAGGGGCGAGAAGTTGATTGATCGGTTTGATGAACTCTGTCAAAACTTGCTCTATGGTTTTTCAGTATCATTTCAAAATGCAACTTATGCGACTAATCGCTAGGTAATGCGATTTGCATTTTTTTTTCAACCGCTACGCTCATAGTTCACAGCGATCTCATCATCGCCGTTGCAGCGATCGCGCCTTCAACCCAAAACGACACCGATTTGCGTCCCACTGTCAAAACACACATTCATTGTAATAATAGTCACACAAAGCGCACAACTTCTTGAGTCGACGGGTTTTTAAGAGTAGCCGTCGCTGTTCTGAAACGAATCTCCGTCATTTTATCAATATGCGAACGATTTATGATTTTACGCTCATTCATGTTGTCTGGTTGTATACTTAATTGATCGTATACAAGTAAGTATTTACAAATATATCCATCAATTAAAGTAAACTAATCTGATCCTACAGTATTTCGCTATCATGCGTCTGCGTTCTGCACTCAATTGAATTTTACTCTCTGTTGATGTTTGATTTTGTTGCTTCCTTCTCATTCAAAACGAATTGCGGACTTTAATCCTCAGAAACTGCAGGTTTAGCTTCAAATTGAGCTAATACAGAAAATAACATATAGACTGATGACATAATAACTTTTCTTTTGCAGATCTTTAAAAAAAAGAGAAAATAGACGTAAAAGGAGCGACTGCCGCCCCGTAATTAAGCAAAATTCTTCTATAAACATTTTAAAGATTTTGCTTGAATTTAGATTCTGCTTTGAAAAGGTTGAGAGGACGATTTGCCTCTACTCTAAGTATTAACTCAAAATCCCTATTACTCCCTCCTCCCATTGCTTTAGCCCTCTGATTATGAATTACTTTCTTCTTCAAGGCATACTATTTCCATTTACAACAAATAGGATATCCTAAGAGTGCCTCGTCCGTGTTGTTATTCCAAACTCTTCCCGATTTTCCGATTTTCAGTCTAACTATCGAATAAAATTTTCTTTTGTAAGAAACCAATGCCGTGTAACACTTTGTATTGCTACAAGTTAGCTGGTACCACATTTGCAGTGATATTACCAAGAAACTTTGTCAAGAAAAGTTGGAATTGGAACATGCATATAGCTACTTGATTAGTTCAATTATCTTATTTTACTTATACCAAAGCGCACTTA